CAGTTTGGGTTCTTTTTTACTGGCTTGCTTTTGGGGACAGTCCAGGGCAGAGCTTTTCAAAGCCACGTAGACTGAATGACAGGGATAATCCCATCTAGAGTGTGGTGACCAAATTAGGCAGTAGGTCCAGGAAACTGTTAGTAAAACCACACTAGCTACATGTGTCTCATTCTTGAGACGTCACCAGAAGCCCCAGCAGTTCTGAAAGTCATTCTGCTTCAGTTTTGGTGCCTAACATGAAGGCCTAAGCAAAGGATTAGTGGTTTCAGGCAGGGGTGGATATAGGGCAGGCCGAGCAGGGCAGCCGCCCCAGCCCCAGTGCTTCAAGAAGCCCTGCGCATGCGCCATGTCAAAGGGGGGGCCTCGCGAAATTGTGCTGCCCTGGGCCCCACAAAATCATCATCTGCCCCTGGTTTCGGGCATCTGACTTAATTTTCAGAGGGTGCTGAGCACCCATTCTCTGAAAATGAGGGCCCTTTAGCAGGCCTCTGCTTGGGCTTTCAGAAACTGAGGCACACAAATGGACTAGAAAAACGGGGCTTCTAAAAAGAAAAAAAAATCCTCTGCATGCTTCAGGTTCCCCTTCTGTACCATAGGGATGATAACACTGCCCTAATAGACCGGCACCATATTGTGAGGCAATGTGCATTGAGAATGCCAGAGGGGATTTTAAAGCCCCATTATTTATTATTAATGGAGTTTAACTTGCTTCAGAGCCTAAAGAAGTCATGAGCATCAGTGTCATTCTGATGAAGCAGAAGGAGTTTCATGAACATTTTTGTTCCGTTTCTCACGTAAGTGCTGCTGGTTCTCCAGTCTGGGCTGTGCCAAATCATTGCGAGAAAGGCATTTTGCATTTTATTGCCAGCTCTTTCAGGAGCAGGAAGCACTGGAAATCTCACCAAAGAGCCTGTTGTCACATGCTTCTGGGCTTTAAATGGCTCACATTAGCATCAAGCACTCAGTACACTTATCCCAGCCAAGCCTGTTCAGGTGTTTGAAATCAGCCATGTGGGATTGGATTGCACGTGCAGAGAAGCAGATTTATGGTAGCTGTCAGGCTCCAGATGATTTGAAGGAAGAAGGAAGAAACTCCATAGTAAGCAACTGAGGAAAAAGCTGCCCCGAAGATTGGCTTAAGCCCCAAAGCACGACATTTTATCTCCCTTGTTAGCATCAGCTATAACAACTCTGGACATTCTTGTTATCCCAATAACTATCCAGTCCTCTTTGAATCTTGCTAAATGCTTGGCCTCAATGACATCTAGTGGCAATCAGTTCTACAGTATAATAAAGTCTGGTGTGGAAAAGTATTCCCTTGTATCGTTGAAACATACTGCACACGTATCCAAGGGTCTGCGCTACTGGTACAGAGTTTAGCATTAGGGAATTGTTTTTGATTGCTCAGTAAATACATTGTGCATTCTCAACCCAAACCCTACTCAGCTTCAGTGAAAAGTTTAAGAAATGTCACTCAAGCATACATGGGTGTGTTTACACTGCAATCAGAGAGGTGACTACTGCATGAGTCCACATACCAGAGCTAGCTTTGATCTAGCTTGCTTGAATCCAAGTATCAGGGAAGCCAAAGCAGCACAGGCTAACTGTTTGAGTACACACTTAGGCTGTATCTAGACTAGCAAGTTTTTCCGAAAAATCATCTGCTTTTGCGGAAAAACTTGCCAGCTGTCTACACTGGCTGCTTGAATTTCCGCAAAAGCACTGACGATCTCGTGTAAGATTGTCAGTGCTTTTGCGGAAATACTATGCTGCTCCCGTTCGGGCAAAAGTCTTTTTCCAAAAGACTTCTGCGCAAAAGGGCCAGTGTAGACAGCAGAGATTTCTTTTCCGCACAAAAGCCCCGATCGCCATTTTCGCGATCGGGGCTTTTTTGCGGAAAAGCGCATCTAGAGTGGCCATGGACGCTTTTCCGCAAAAAGTGCTTTTGCAGAAAAGCGCCCTGCCAATCTAGATGCGCTTTTCCAAAAATGCTATTAACAGAAAACTTTTCCATTAAAAGCATTTCCGGAAAATCATGCCAGTGTAGACGTAGCCTTAGGGTGTGTCCAGCCTACCTCTACTAGTGAGTCTTCCAGACCAGATCTAAAGACTGGTCAGCTTGAGCCTGTCTTTCTTTTTTCTCTTCAGCATCTGAGGAAGCGAGCTGTAGCTCACAAATCTTGTACTCTAATACCGTGCTAAATTTGTTAGTCTTTAAAGTGCCACCAGACTCCTTGTTGTTTTTGCTGAAATAGACTAACATGGCTACTACCTCTCTGAGACTTGTGCGAGTGCTCTAAGAAGAGCTGAGTAGATTTTGCAGCTCAGACTTCCAAGTTAAGGCCAGATCTACACTAGACCTAGTAGCTCAGCTCAAGGTACGCAACTCTAGCTACGTAGAATCTGTGTCAGTACTGAAGGCCAGTGGGGGCACCCTCTCAGTTCAATTTAGCAAGACTTAACTAGACTCACTAAATCAAACTCAGGAAATTCAACTGCAGCAGTGTTGATCTTCCACAGAGTGAAGACACGCCCAAAGGGGGAGTGAAGAAGGTAGGCAGGGTCATACAGTCTGTGTAGCCATAGTTTCACTGCTAATGTTGTTTGAGCTGGATCAAAGTGATCCTAAGTATGACATTACAGTCTGCAGTCACACCTCTAACTGCAGCTTAGTCGTGCCCATCAATAGAGAATCCGGGAGGGAAAATACATCTTTTAAAACAGACACCAAGTTCACGCCCCAAGCCTCTATTCCACTCACCAACCACTTCAGGAAAGCAAATTTAATTGGTCTAGAAACCCAGTGATTAGCCTTTTATTTTTTAGATAGAAAGTGATACAGTAATGGGGAAAGGAGCCAATATTGGGAGAAATTACAACGTTGTGCACTTTGGCGCAAAAAGTTCATATTTGTGAAAAAATAATTCCATTTGTGTATAAAATGGCAGCATCCTGAAGGTTCTCAATCCATTGCTATTTATCAAGCTAACTTGGCCTATTTCATCAAGCTGATGCATGCAGTTATGATTTTAGGGCTCAGTGTCAAAATGGAAAGTCTCTCTACCATTAAGTAGCCAGATCCAGCAACATTCCCAACAGTTACTGTGAATGGCATGACCTTAACTTCAAAGAAGAGAGAGACCTCCTGTGGTTACTATGGCCCCAGTTTAGCAGAGCATTTAATTTTAAGCAAAACACTGGAGTGTTTTGTTGAACACCAGTAGACTTAAGTAGATTCTGCATTCTAAACATGTGCTTAAGTCGTTCAAGTTTAGCACATGCTTAGATAAGAGCTTTCCTGAATAGGGAGGACCTATATGTTCTAATGCAAACTGGTCACAATGCTCAATGGAAACAACAAAACATAACATACTTAAAAAACGTGCCTAAATCAAAGGGAAGGCTTTGTGCAGGTGCCAATCCCGCTTACTAAGATTATTATTTGTATATTATTTACTTTGCTTTCCCACTTCCAGCCCTTTCCTCAGGTCAGCAACTTCCATGGGGACCTGGACAGTCAGACCATCCATCGCCTTCTTAACACACACCTGGCAGCCGAGGCGTGATCTGAAAAGCAGACAACAGACTGAGTTTCGTACATTTTAAGGCAAAAGAAAGAGCCCTGTAGCACCCCCCAGAGATGCCCACACCATTCTGTTTGCCCTCCGAATTCATAACAGCCCAGCTGTCAAAGGGCAGAGCTACACTTTCCCCACAGGAAAGAGATTCTTAAGACACTTTCGCAATTGAAAATAAAACAGCCCCCCCCCCCCTTAGCCACT